TTCAGTATCGATACTTTTTTGAGTATCGATACTTTTGACAACCCTAATAAATACTGCATGCATCATTTAGGTAGTTAACATTGGATTACTTGTAGAGCTCCTTGACTTATTTACTGTCACCGGTAGGAGCTTCAGCCGGAGAGGAAGTGTTGGGGCCGCTATGATTGAAGGAGGGCCGGCCCTCGCACAATGAGATTAGAACCGTTGTAGGTACCAGATCTGCTGGGGGCCTGCTTCATGCCGGTGACGTTACGCTATATGATCGGCTGAACGTTGCCACATGATGTAAATTATTGTGGTTGCCCAGACAACGATAACATCACGCAGCATCCATGTGCCGAGTAGGGAGCATCTGTAGCGTTAGCGTGTCTAATGAACGACAAAGTTTTACCTGATTGATAACAAAACTGAAAAAAATCTGTTTCTGGTGAACAAAATAACTGTTAGAGCGTGATATAAAGGGCTGGGTAGCGTTGTAGCTAGCTGTGCTCAGTAGCTAACCGGTTAGCCTCTTTTAGCTCGGTCAGTTAGCCACATTAAGCTACATGACTCTTAACTTTGTGTCAACAACAACCGTTTGTTTTCTACAAGTAGAAAAACTGTTTTATCTGTAAAACATATTTACGAAACTAATTTATTAAAATGTTTCATTTGTCCTCCTCTGCCCTCATATCTAAATAAAAACAATAAAAATAAGCTGAGAGTTTTTTTTTGTGTCACCTTGTTAAATAGCTCAGAACTTTCCTTGAAGAGTGACAATAATTGTTTTCTACTTTTCGGCTACTTTAGATCGCCAATGAAATTTTAAATAATAGCAAATAAAGGTAATAGAATGCTGACAATCCAAGAGATTTGATCCTTAAGCAACAGGTGCAATAACGTTTGTCTGATTGGAGTTGCCATATATTGACGTCATAAGACGTGGCGGGGCCTGGAGCAGATCTGGTACCTACAGCGGCCCACCGGTCAAATGCTCAGTATCCCAGATTACCAGCCTGCATGTGGAGCGTATTACTGCTGCCACCGCCTGTATTAGAGGAAGAAAAAAATGGTTGGGGTGGCCAATGATCGGCTAAGGGTGGCCATGGCCAACTCTGGCCCCCCAAACATTTGTGGGGTCAATTAAACGCTCAAAATGGCCAGAAAAAGAGAACTTTCATCTGAAACTTAACAGTCTATTCTTGTTCTTAGAAATGAAGGCTAATACATGCGAGAAATTGCTAAGAAATTGAAGATTTCCTTCAACGATGTGTACTACTCCCTTCAGAGGAGTAGAAAAAGAAGTGGGAGGCCGCGTTGCACAACTGAGCAAGAAGAGAAGTAGATTAGAGTCTCTAGTTTGAGAAACAGACGCCTCACAGGTCCCCAACTGGCATCTTCATTAAATAGAACCCGCAAAACACCAGTGTCAACATCTACAGTGAAGAGGCGGCTGCAGGATTCTGGGCTTCAGGGCAGAGTGGCAAAGAAAAAGCCATATCTGAGACTGGCCAATAAAAGAAAAAGATTAAGATGGGCAAAAGAACACAGACATTGGACAGAGGAAAACTGGAAACAAGTGTTGTGGACGGATGAATCCAAGTTTGAGGTGTTTGGATCACAAAGAAGAACGTTTGTGAGATGCAGAACAAATTAAAAGATGCTGGAAGAATGCCTGGCGCCATCTGTTAAGCACGGTGGAGGTAATGTGATGACTGGGGTTGTACAGGGTAAAAGGGATTCTGAATAAGGAAGGCTATCACTCCATTTTGCAACACCATGCCATACCCAGTGGACAGCGCTTGATTGGAGCCAATTTCATCCTACAAAATGCCAATGACCCTAAACACACCTCCAAATTGTGCAAGAACTATTTAGAGCAGAAGCAGGCAGCTGGTACTGTATT